AAGTATAAATAATAAGTAATAATTAAAACTTTAACTTTCGAAGGATTCTGTTAGATGATTATCATTTTATTTAATAATTGCAATATATATTTATAATTTATTGAATTTCTGTATAATACATACATAAAAGTACCAATTTTAAATTTTATAATAAATCGATATTATAAACATGTACCGATATTCCCATATGATACATTTAATATATACTCTATTAATAAACTTATAGTGTTTGCCATTATGTTCATGTACCAAATCCATATACTATAGGGTTTTAATTGTTTTAGAACATCAATTTATCATGATCTCTGTGTTATTTATCAAGTTCAAAGTATCTAAAATGTTTTAAATAATATGTTGCTCTTTGTTTTAAACATTTTATGTATAAACTAGAGAATTTCAAACAATACAATTATTTTAGAGGTTGTAAAACCGCATTTGTTTCAAACAATTTAAAACATATAATTTTGGAACGATGATAAACATAATCAAAACGCATTTTCCGTAACACTAGATTCATTTTAAAATTGTACAAAAAATATTAATCTACCATTATTAAATTTTACTATATACATTTAAATTTTATTTTATTTTTTGCTTGTAGATCACTTCACCATGGGTCTGATATGTTTGCCCGGCACTCGAATGCCCAACACTTCAATTGCCCGACACAACATTTTCCCGAGGTCCGACAAAATATTTTATATATTTTTACTGTACTAAATACCGATATACAATATTTTATTACTATTTCATTATTTTATTATTATTATTATTATTATTTATTAATATACAATAATTAAAAAAAAACTAAATCGGACGAATATTTTATCATGGATATTATCGTTCTATATGAAAAGGTACTAAGTACTAAGTATAGTATAATAGTATAGTATAGTATATTATATTATTAAGTTCTCAAATGTATTTTACTGCTATTTGCTATAGATTCATAAAAATCGCTCAACATTAAATTGTAAGTAGTATAATGTTTGTGTTATTATTAATTTTTGACACAACTATTTATTGCATAATTTTAAAATTTAACATTAATTTTTAAATAACATAATAAGTATAATATAAAATTTTATCGAAATTTTTAATAATTTTTGACACATATTTATTTATAATATAATTTGAGGTTATCGGGCAAATGTTATGTCAGGCAAATGTTATGTCGGGCAAATGATGTCGGGCAATTAAGGTATCGGGCAATTAAATGACAGGAAAATGTACTGATCCTTTTCACCATTATGTAAAATAGCGGTATGAATTAATGATCACAACATTTAGGGTTGATTTGTTCTCGTAAAATCGATAATGATACATCTCAGACCTGTCACGACCCAAGTGCTCGTACAACACTACTTGAAAGACTTAAGGACTACCATACTAACGCAATAAAATATTCTTACTCCAAAAGCGTGATGCATACATATGGCTGTTAGGACTTAAACAAAACGTCATCATTTACTTTTACTATTCTGTTATATTAAACTAATACAACAAAGATGAATAATAAAAACAATGAAAAAGAAATAATAAGAATGAAACTACACGAGAAAAAGTGATTCATTTGCAAAAACATCATAAAAAGTTAATAATAAATTATATATACAACATATTTTAATATATGAATAATTATATTAGCTTATTCGTAATAACATTATTATTTTTTTCTTATTTGTTTTAACTTTAAAGGTAAATATAAAAACATTATATACGTGAAAAAAAGATAATTATGCCTTTAAAATCAACAACAAATTTACTTAAGAAATGTAATTTAAATAATGATTTATGTTCAATTTAATGTTTAAGAGTTAAGGCCCCTTCACAAACATACTATATAAATATTTTCTGTCAAACCTAATTTTTTTTTTTTTTTTTGTGTAAAAATTAATAATTAATATAAATGTCGACCATTAGAATTAATATTATACTCAACATATGCATTTTAAAAAATTTGATATGGCTACTTAATCTGCTTTAATCTTCCATGAAACATTTGTTGTAAATCAAACAAGTACCTATTTGTCAAAAAACTGCTAGTATGGACATAATTTTTTAATTCTTTAAAATATATAATCCAATATTTTTATATTTTTAGCAGCAACAATTTTTTATTCCTCGCAAACTAATACTCTTAGATAAAACGTACATAAAACTGAATGGCACATTATAATGCCTAATTTTAAACCTATATATAATATTTCTTTTTTGAAATTATCATTGAACCAAATTATCAATTACCAAAAAATTAAAACATATACACTTCCATCAAAATTACATTATGTCAAATAATATTGTTTATCCAACCGAACATATGAATAGATAAAAAAAAACGTTTTATCTATTATATAGTACCTACACATCTATTAATTAATTTACAAATATTTATTTTTAAAGTTGTTAGGCAAAAAAATCTTAACATATAGTGAAAATATTAACCATCTTAGTCTTTCCTACATTTTCCGTTTTATATAAATCATAAACTATAAAAATACAGTTTAAAACAGACGATAGTAATTCTTTTATCCCTTTCGGATGTCCGAAAAGTTTCAAAAAATGAATACAAGAAAAGAGGAAATTAAACTACTGAATTTCTTTCAGCTTTCTTATATATAAAATATTAGCTGAATATTTTATATATATATATATATATTTCATGAATTCATCGAAGATTACAAATCGTATTCTTAAAACCCTAAACTGAATTATTTAGAAAAACATATAAAAATGTGACATAACGATTCAACAGACCATAAGGTTTTTAAAAGCTTTTTAATAGTTATTTCATCTCTTTGTTTAGAAATCAGTTTTAGATCATTTTTAAAGTTAATACTAATCCTTCCGTAGACACTCCTCTTTTATTTTAATTTCACAACATTAATTATTTTTAATGAACTAATATTACTGTTTTAAAACACTACTAGGTATAAGAAATATAAGCCATCCACTATTTATAATCATATTAAGAGATTTTTAGACTTAAATGGCATTCCAAAAATAATAATCTGCCATTATTATAAGCTTAATTAATATTAATATTTTTGTATTAAATATGGTCAAAAAGTTAGGAATTTTAAAATACATGTAGGTATTAAATATTATTTATGTTATTTTTACTGAATAAAATAAAATAAAAACTGTGTAAATATAAAACAACATTCTTGTCGAGTAATCATTATTTTAGCTTTATGAATCAAGGAACGAGAGAGACGATGTGCTTAATTATACGCATGAATTACATATATTTTTTAGTGAATAAATACGTACCAACTTATGTACGAAAGTGTTGGATATAAACACGCTATTCCGCTATTACGATGTTATACAAGAATATAATACGAATAAGAACTCCTAAGACGAAAGTTTTGTATTGTATGATACAGCTCATCAAAGGATAGAAAAAAATTGTTAAACTTCATGCATGTCGAATAATACTTGATAAAATGAAATACAGCCAAGTAATTTTCACCCCATCACTGTCATTTACAATACAATATTTTATAATCATTAAGTTATTCAATAAGTATCTACCATAAACATCAAATATGTTTATAGTTATATACGAAATTCTAATACACTGTAAGCTATATAATATGTTATATAAATATAAAATATATATTATAAAATTTAATAGATTTTTTTTTAAATCAGAGAGACAGAAAGATATATTTCATTTTTGAAAATCCCAAGAATGTAACAAATTTTTAAAACTTTGTGCTATGTATGAGTAGGAAATTTTTTTTCCTTTCAGTAATTTTGTAACCTATTGGATTTCTACTTATAATTATAATTAATTACTTTTACTACTGAGAAATATGATTGAAAAAATACGCTTCCATTTATTTTTTTCAGTTTACTAAACTACTTTAATATCAACGGTCATTTAAAAAATAGAGTGAGTTTACTTTACAATTTTTTTCTTTGTTTATTCTAAACTAAATGTAATTTATGTTTGAAACAAGACACTCTTCTCAACATTGCCAAACAAAAATCAAATTGCTGTTTATAGTTACACATTTTTTACATCGTTTGAAACGTTCTGGTGATCATGAAAAATAAATATAAATGTTCCTGAATAAATTAACATTATCTTGGTTCAGTGAAAATTCTCTTTTTTTTTTTAACAATGATAATCATGATAATAATTACTAAAAATGTATTTAGGTATATACCATTTCATTTTTCGTCAAAAGATCACTGGTAATGATGGGAAAATTTCAAAAGATGTCTTAAAAAGAAAACAACTATATTTACATAATACCCGATGACCCAAAAAAAAAAAAAAACTGTAATTTTATCTTTAATTTATTTATTCAGAACAGTGTCACATCTTATAAGGTTTGCGTGTTTCTAAAAGCTTCATAACAAGGTGCCGGAAGTAAACATGAACCTATAAAGAGTAATTGGAAACTGTATCCAACGTGAAAGGTACATAAAGTAAAAAGCACCGGAAAGATTTTTAATCTTAATGATCAAGACAATGAAGAATAGGATAAGGAAATAATATAATAATAGCCAGAAAAAATGTTTGCTGCTATTTCCTTATTGTCATCATGCAAAATCATGATAACGACAAGACAATCAATTTTATAATCACAAGAAATATTTAGCGTGATAAAATGATGTGTAACTTATACTTTTACGGTAAGTACATTAATGTAATATAATACAATCTCGGATTAAATAGAAATTACCGAAAAATCGTAATAGAAGAGTTACACACAAGTTTATCTGTATAGTAAAGTTCACTCTAATTATAACATATTTTCTGTACATCACTTTACTACAAATATTTGTTTTCCTTAAACTCAAGATGTTTGATATTTGTTTAAAACTAATTACAATTATGAATAAATAAAACATAAAATACCTATGTTAAACAAATTACACCACCCAAAAACAGTCAAACCGCTTTTACTTAAAAACAAAATCAGTTTTTCAAGATAAAATTTAAAAAAATGTAAGTAATAATAAAATCCTTGTAAAGTTATTACCAATTTTAGTGGAACTGAATTTACTCTAGAATACTTAAAAGTTTTAAAAAAAAACTTGTTCCATCACAGTTTATTGGTGTACATGAACGTTTATTTCAGTTGTACATACCTGCAACAAAACAAAAATAATTAAATTAAAAACAGAAATTAACATAACATTTTAATAAATAAGTAACTACTCTTACACGTATTATATAAAACACAAAATGCATATTAATGATTTATGATCAATATAAAATGTTGTTATATCAAAACATTCAAAAAAATGTAAAAGAAAATCGTGACATTGCATACAATATTAAAGTTAATAGCAATCGGCTTTTAATGTAAATTTAGAAATGACAAAATTCATGATTCGTTGGACAATATTCGAATCTGCACTTCCTTAACAGTGTTTAACTACACTATTTATTAAAACAATTTATTTAAATGATAAGATTCCCAAGAGAATAAAATATCTTTATACTATAAGCCTGAAACATAACGTAAATTTAGTAACAGTCCATTTATTAATTAAAACAGACATCATTAACATAATAATCTAGAATATACTATATCAACTATTTCATGGACTATAAATAGTTATTATCTATAATCCAACAAGATATATTTATAATATTATTGTGATAATTTGCATTTCAAAAAAAGAACATTCGTATAAGAATACTGATCGACATAATATATTTGTTACTTATTCATTATATATTTGAAGATATATACTACGAGTATATCTCAAAGAACCATCTATTTACAATACTCTGTAATTTACCATCTAATTAGCTGGTAACCATCTACCAATCGTTTAAATTCTTTGTGTATATATATTCGTTTATAATTTATAGTTTTATTTATCAAAAGTATATTATCCAACAGAGAAAATGTAAAAAAGTAAAGAGCAAATATAAACAATTCAAAAAATACGAGTATATAATATGATTTAACCGATTATGAATTCGAAACAATAATACTTAAACAGACCAAAATATTCAACGTATCAACAATAATATAATTCCAGTCGATTCCAATAAGTCCCGACGGGAATTAAAGTATTTTCTTGCATATTACAACCGAAATTCTACCTAGAATTTTACAATACGAAACCACCACACTTTATATATATATATATGTTCATATTTATACAATAAAATCAATTCAATTTCCCTTACTTTGTTAATATTGCAATTTCCCCGGGGTTCTCTACCACAGTTGTCCCTTTTGTTTACATGTACCCTAACTCATTGGGGACAACAACACCGGGCCCCCGTTACCCCCAGCAGAGGCTGGTGTTTATTATTGTTAATCGCACACAACAAAACGTTATTATTGAGCCCGTGTTCCGAGCGATATCAACCATAGAAATCGAATCGAATCGATCCATCCATCGTGTGTGAATTAAATTCGACACCAATAATCCATCATCGGAGCATTGTGCGGACTATGTACGCAGGACGATTTTTGGGCGGAGATACTATGGGACATGTTGTCTCCAAGCTTTTACACCGTGACCGACCGATGTGATATAGGGCAGTGTACGGAGGAGGGGTGTGGAGTTCATACATCATCAACAGCATCAACACAATAGAAATCGCCCTTAATCCGTCAGAAACCCTTTGTAAATAACGTTTCACAATCGGATTCGCCACAAATGAGAGATTACAATGTCAAAACGTTGTAATTACTGTCGATTGTATATTGTTTTTCATGCGCTATCCTCATACACCCTTTTTTGGTGTTTTTCAAGACACAAACAAGGGACTGGATCAGAGCATAACTTCAAATAGCATTAAGATCGAATACTTTACAAAATATTGCAATTTTTCAGGAATCGCATGAAGTTTTTACTTAAAATATACCTCTGAAAAACATTCGAAAAGTTGGAACAAAAAATATTGTATAAAGCCAATTATTATAAGATCATTGCAACGTCACTTTTTTATGCATGACTTTTACACAGAATAACTACACATAAATGACATTTTAACAACTAGTGGAGCGAATATATTTATAAAAATGATACAAGTATCACATGAAATTCTAATTAATTTAATTTAAGACTCGAATATAAATCAATCATAAAGGAAAACGAAATGTACAAAAAAATTTAAAAAATAAAAAAACATAAATAAAATAGAAACAATAGTATGGAAGAATTTACTTGGTATCAGAATACAAAGGTTTCCATTAACTCCGATCAATATGAGATTAATCAAAATATAATTTAAAGCAAAAAAAAAATAATAATAATGAATACTCTTTACCTTATAGAGTATCCAATATTTTTAGTGAAACTATATTAATTTGATAATGCAATTTAATCTATTGCATCACTACCTATGCTGCACACGTGCGTATATTATATATGACTCATTCGATATCATTCCATCGGCTTATCAGGGTAAATTCACAATATGTGAAACCCCAACAACAGTGGACACGTCAGCCTGTTGTCACAGCTATACATACATCTGGTTAATTAATCACCACTGCCCATTTCTCTCTCCCTACGGAATATTTTACAGGTGGTCACTGGAGCACTTGTCATATAAGTGGCGTCAGCTGCCCGTCTCTCAGACCCCATTCATTCCAGTTCGTCAAAACCAAATTAACCAGAATGGTCGACAAAACCGTTGGTCCGATAAATGTGAATTCACAAATACAAAATTACTCCAGTGGTATATGTGGTTAACAGTGGATGACTAATTAAAACTTGCCTAGGCTGTTTGTTTAAATTATTATCGATTAATCATTCATACAGTTTACATTTAGTACATTTCTCAAATTTAAAATTTTGAATAGTCAAGTATATAAATTATTTTATTAATGAAATGTTTAGTAGTTTCAGTCGAAAACCAATAAATATAAATTTATCCTACTAAGATTTTCATCAAAATATATTTAAAAATATACTATAATCCAAATAAAATCAAAGACTGTGTACTTTTATTTAAATTAAGTCGTTATTTTTATGTATAGGCTAAAATGTAGCTGTTATGTTAAGTAGTATTATTTAATTCTATAATGGAGCCACTTATTTATTATAGTAATTGAATACAATTCATGCATACCTACATCTTATGTTCAAAATAAAAAAAACGTACGAAAATAGTCCAAAAACAACAATGGAATCATTATTAACTGTCATTAAAAGTATACGATGATTGAGGATGCCACATTTAATTATTAAAATGGTTATAATCAAATTAACTATTCTTTATCATAGTCAAAAAAATAATCTCGCTATGTGGTCTTCTACCATGGGTTATTATTAAAAGCCCTGATGAACTCCCCTTTCAATATTTACCAATACTAACAATTACAGAGTTCCAGAGTAAATTATCATAAAATAAGTTACTAAATATTATTTTAAATTCGAATATTTCATGTTTTCATATTTTAACAGTGTAGGAAAAATAAGTTATAGTAAATATAATAGGAACAGATATCTATAAAAATTAATTGTAATTATATAGTGACTAACATATTTATTAACATATCTTAATTAATGTTACGATTATTTTGTTGATACAGATAAAAATAATTATATGATCTCATAATAAAAATGTTTAGTTTGCTTATATTTAGCGAACACCAAAACTATTTATGAACACGACGTATGATCAATGATAAGTCACAAAATCACAACCACGTGTCGTTGTTGTTTATTCTTTGAAAATGTCAACACCATGATTGACGATTTATCACACCAAAGAAGCAAAAATACTTATCTCCTTACTAAATAATAAAAATAGTATTATATTGAACTAAAATGAAAATATTCTTTCCAAAACTATTTTTATAAATTAAACTACCATATATACCATTCGAAGGAATACTCAATAAATACTTCATTAACTTATTTCAATGAGCTTTTCCCTTATTTAAATCATTCAAATATAACATGTAATATGTTTGATACGACAAGCGTTATAATGCGGTGTTTAAGTAATAGGATTGACAATAAAAATACTATTTGTAAAATAACAGTTTTGTTTTACCATACATGAATAAAAAATATGATAAATAATAAATGTTATGATGGAAATTCATTGTCATTGCCAAGACTGTAGAAACATAAATTTTATTTTAGGCATAAATCATAAACAATAAATGCTTGCATACCTAGTAAATATATTTATTTTTTTTAATACATATCACTAGTCTCTAGCATGTAAACTTCTCGAATGAATGGCCTACCAACACTTGTATTTTGCAGTTATAGCGAACATTTTTATTTGCGCGTAAAATCTGTAAAAAGAAATCACGTCAAATTCATATTTGATGACGAAACTCTACACACACACACACTAACATACATACAAAGGCTTATCCCTTCAATTCCAAATCGAATGAACGGCGACGTGTAATAGCCACGTGGAAATAAGAAGAACGCGTATTTTTCCGATGTGAATAGATGTTAGCAAGGCGGAGAAGGTCTTGACTCGGAATAATGTAAAAAATATATCCACACATAGTACACGTAATAATAAAATATGCCATGCGGTATTTGTGCACACGTCGGTCAGCGACTGAGAAGAAACTAGCGTAGAGTCGTAGAGACGGAATCAATAAACCAAAAGCGTGTGTATAAAAGAAAGCCCCCATGGGTCCTGTCCCTCGGTCGTCGTCAAAGTCCGCGTCAACAAGCTCAGGTCATGATTAATGTATTAAAATGCTCTAGCAGGTCTCCGCTCCGTTCTGTTCTGTACCCCGCATTATCGAGTGGCCGCAACGTGCTCGGAATATTGGCGCAATACCATCATCGTCACGACCGTTCCCGCATCGATCACCCATTCAAACTGAATAAAAGTCTCTATCTCTCTCGCTCTCTCCCTCTCCATATCTCTATCTCTTATCCCCATACCTTCTCTTTCCGTTCTTATTTTTCGGAACCTTCACCCACCTCCCTCGACCACGGATCCAAGGGACTGTAGAACGCGCGAGAATATCGTCATTTTACGTTTTGAAAATGTCAATATATAGGTAGGTCTCCTCGTCCAATTTCAGATGTACCATCAATACAATGCAACATTTTAGCAGACGCCACCGTTGTCCATAATCCTAAGTACAAATTAATAATGCAAGATCTAGTTCGAACATGATTTTCGTAAC